TATTTAAAGGTTTGCCTTCAGGTATTCATGATTTGAAATTCTGTGTAGTTTGAAATGGAAAAGCAAAAACATATTATCCCAACTTTGTCTTTATTTTCTTCTGAAGTACAGAAGTTCCACAAAAAGGCCCATGGTTCACTTCTAGTATAAACATTCTTAATTATATTAAAAGAAATATTTACAGTTGTCAGAATACTACTATTGCAAGAAAATTTGGGAATTTAGTTTTGTCACAGTCAATGGTACATATATGTCACTAAATATTGAAAAGTAAAGTCTGAAGGGTTTTGATATTATTACTGTAGATTCCAGAAGAATTACATACTCATTGAGAATTCCAGATGTTTTGATAAATATGGTGTCAATTCTGGTCAGAACAGTTAAAGCAGAAATATTAATAATGTGTGTAATGATCACTCTATAATTTCTCACTATCAATATTTTATAAAAAAGGAAAAAATAAATTAAAGACTAATCAAGAAAACTCTATTGAGAAGAAAGTTTTTTTAAAAAAAGCAAAAATAATGATCACAAAAGTTCTGTTTTTATATAATTGTATTAAAAGGTTTCCACATCAACTGTTCTATTTGAGTTTGAAACAAGTAGGGTTGGTCTGGCCAAATAGCTCAGCAGATTAAAGCACCTGCAAGCAGGCGCAGGGGATGGGGGTTCGATCCCCGGGCCTGCCAGGGCAGCCCTGCCCCCCGGGTGCACTGAGATGGCATTTGAGACTGGAAGTGCTCTAGGAAGCCAGTGTTCATTGGATGAAGATGGCCGAAAGACACATGCTTGTGTCCCGAACCCTCTTGATAGAAAGCGAGCGTCTATTGTTAATATTTGTTATAACAACACTGGAGAACAAGTAAAGATTATTAGTGAACCAAAATTTTGTGGCTGAAGACAGGAAATGGCTGAAAATATGCAAAGAAGGAAAATGTAACAGATGTGTAACTGTTCTCCAACAGAAAACATACAGGTCACACTTTCTTACTCATATAAACATTCTTAATTATATTAAAAGAAATATTTTCAGTTCTACTTACTTTTAGGTAGGGAACACATTTATAATGAAGACAAAATAGAAAGTATAAAGGAAAAGACTAACAAGTTTAATTATATAAAAATTGAAATGTTCTACATAGAAATTTATCATAAGACTAAAAGACAACAGAAAGGGAAGAATATTCATAAAATATTTTTCAACATATTTAACAAATCTATATTAAAATATATAAAGAGTGGTTGTAAATGAGAGAAGAATCTTTTTTTTTTTGTGGAACCAGGGATTAAACTCAGGCCCTTGTGCTTGCCAGGCAAGCACCTATTCTAAAACCACTTTGGAAGCAGCTTTGGAACAGGTGTCAAAATTTAAAAAGTAAATATCTTTACAGCAAAATATTCATAGTTGTATTGAAAGCAATATCCTTTAAATATATTGTGTTTTAATGTTTACTAAAATTAGTCGTGTCATGCAATATATAT